TCCCTGAGCTCCCTTCTGCACCCCTCTCCCTGGCAGGTCCCGCTGTGGCTCTGAAGCTTCTTCGTCGGGACTCGGTCCTGAGAACCACCTTCCTGAGAGAGTTCTGTGTGGGCCGCTGTGTCTCATCACACCCAGGCTTACTGCAGACCCTGGCAGGACCCCTGCAAACCCCCCGACACTTTGCCTTCACCCAGGAGTATGCGCCTTATGGGGACCTCAGCGGGATGCTGAAGGAACGGGTGAGGCGGGTGGGGAAAAAAGGTCAGAACTGCTTATCCCATGTATAACTCTGTCCCTAACCCATTTCTATCTCCAATCCTGACACCCAGATCAGTGCTCAACCTAGCTCTGCCCTAATCCCCCAGACACCCTCCTTATTTCTAACTCTCGGTGCAATCCCACGCCTAACCCTAACCTAATCCACCCAGCCATTCCAGCACGAGTTTGCATGGGCAAGGGGATGCGGTTGGGTTGGGAATGAGATTGGGGTGGGATTTAATTAGCACTGGGATTGGGAGTGTGGGAGTGGGTGGAGTTGGGTGGGTTGATAATAGACTGGTAATGGGTGTGAAAAGCATGGATGGGGTCTCAGAGTGAGACAGGGTTGGTTGAGGATGTGTATACAGAATGAGTTGGAGATCAGTTGTAGTGAGGTTCTCTCTGGTGAGGAGACCAGGTCAGGACTGAATCCATGAGATTCTGGGGGTACATGAGTTTGAAGATTAGGGTGGAGCCATCTTTAGGAATAGATTTTGGATTTGAGATAGGGTTGGAGATAAGCAGAAGGAAAGAAAGAAGGGAGGGAGACAGATGAATGAATAGAGAGATGGACGGATGGATGGAAAGACGGGTGGATGGATGAAAAGATGGGTGGATTGATGGGTTGGTGGATGGATAGATGGATGGAAAGATGGGTGGATGGTGGATGAATGAAAAGATGGATTGATGGGTGGATGGGTGGATAGATGGATGGATGGATAGAAAGATGGGTGGATGGTGGATGGACAAAAAGATGGATGGATTGATTGGTGGGTGGATAGATGGATGGATAAATGGATGGTAGATAAATGGAAGGAAGCAAGGAAGAATGAATGGATGGATTTTGGATATTAAGTAATTGAATACATTATTGGATTGCTGACTGACTGGTGGAAGTTAAGCAGAAACCCTGCTGTGTAGACTGTCGAATGGATGAGTGGTTTGACAGATGGATTGCTGGCTAGCTGCCTGGCTAGATGGATGGATAGATTTACCAACCCAGTGATGAAGAAAAATGACTTCAGAATGGTGTCTGAATTAGAAACACCATCTAAATTAGTAGGAACTAAGACTAGGATTCAGTATGAGATTTGGGGTCCCACTGGAGATCTGGGTGGTCAGGCTAGAGGAGATAAGAAATATAAAGAGGAGGTTTGAGTGTTAGGGTTAGGAGAAAGCTTGGTGGAAGTGAAAAGAGCTTCTGGTTCAGTCTGGGGTTCCAGTGACGACATACTGGGGGCTGGAGCACAGAGGTTGTAGCCCGGTGTGGCTGAGGATAATCTGAAGAAGGTGCTGGGGGACACTAGAGGTAGCCACTGGTCTGAGGTTCTGAATTCTTGAACTCCAAGAAACCAAATAAAGAAGGAGCCAAGGCACCCTGACCTTCATCTCTCCTTGACCCCAGGGCCTCCCAGAGCTGCTGGTGAAGCGGGTGATGGCCCAGCTGGCCGGAGCCCTGGACTTCCTCCATGGCCGGGGGCTGGTCCATGCAGATGTCAAACCAGACAATGTGCTGGTCTTTGACCCCGTCTGCAGCCGTGTGGCCTTAGGTGACTTGGGGCTGACCCGGCCCGAGGGCAGTCCAACCTCTGCCCCACCGGGGCCACTGCCCTCGGCCCCACCCGAGCTCTGCCTTCTGCTGCCACCGGACAGCCTGCCCCTGCGGCCAGCAATGGACTCCTGGGGCCTGGGGGTGCTTCTCTTCTGCATTGCCACTGCCTGCTTCCCTTGGGACGTGGCACTAGCCCCTGACCCTGAGTTTGAGGCCTTTGCTGGCTGGATGACCACCAGGCCCCAACCCCCACAGCCACCCCCACCTTGGGACCAGTTTGCACCCCCAGCCCTGGCATTGCTCCAGGGGCTCCTAGACCTGGATCCCGACACTAGGAGCCCCCCACTGGTTGTCCTGGACTTCTTGGGGGATGACTGGGGGTTAGAGAGGAACAGAGAGGGACCTGGGGGCTTGGGGGGCATGTCTAGTGAAGATGGGGAGGAGGAGGAAGAGCGAGGAGCTAGCCTGGAGGAGTGGACGGACGAAGAAGAGGAGGATGACAAAGATGGCAAGAGGATGGGGACAGATGGGGGAGCTCCCTGACCAGGTGACTGAGACAGGTGGTCAGAGCCTGGGCCAAAGGCCCCTCCCCCAGCACCCCCCCCCCTCCCTGGCCACCTGGATGGAGACAGCTGCTTCCCGGAGGACAGAGACGGAACACACTGCATCTCTCCCTGCTGAGCGCTGGACTGGGCTGCACAATTCCCCTCTCAACTGAGGACCTGGGAGTCCAACACCCAGCCCCTCCTCCCTCAGACTGGGAGTCCAGGCCCCCAGCCCCCTCCTCTCTCAAGGACCCTCCCTCTTCCTTCTGTCCTGAATGGGTCTTCTCAGAGGAAGGCACCGCTTCCCTATAGACATATTTCCGCAGTGTGGGGACATGCTGAGTGCCTCTCATGGATTCTGACGGGGCCGCTCACCCCCACGGAGACCTGGTTGACTCTCACCATCCATGGTACTACATCTGAGCTTTCAGGATCCAACAGCATGGAAACCTCACCCCCTACGTCTTCCATTGCCCTGGGCTCCGGGTGACACTGGGGAAGTCACTCATCCTGTCTGAACCTCAATCCTTGCACACACACACACACGCACACACGCACTTTCCTGCCGCGGGCCCTCTGCACACCCTGAGTCCTCCCCTGAGAACACCTTCCTCACAGCTCGGTGCCTCCAAGCTCTCTCCAGTCTCATCGGGAACCTACATCCGGGCGATCTATGTCTCCCGTCTTTTTCAGCCTCACCTGTTTGGGCTGCCCGGACGGACGTGGTTTTTCTCGTTAGGACATCCTTTCAGTTCTGCTCCCCCCACCGTGCCAGCTCCCTACCGGCACGGAGCACGGCGGTGTGTGACTGTCCCAGCTCTGTGGGCCTCGGGCTCCGTGCTGACAGCTGAGGCTGGCTGGGATGAGCTTGCCTTCACCTGGGCCGGCCCGTGCGCCCCACGCCTCTCCAGCGCGCGCCCGGTGCCTGATGCTTCCCACGTGCAGGGCAGGGGCGCGAGCACGAGCGTCGGACGAGTCCCGGTACCCAGCTCAGGCTCAGGAACGGGGAACTGCTCCCCCCTCCCGGGGAATCTGTCCGGCGTGCTTTCTAGACTCAAAAGAGTGGGTTCACGAAGCGCAGTGGGGTGTCCTGGGTCAGAGCCTGGGGACAGCACAAGGTTGTTGGCGGAAGCGCTGCTGAGACAGGCAGGGCCTCGCACGGGACGGATGATTTCTTGGTTTGGACAAATGTGTCCTTGGCTATTGGCTGCGTGAGATACCAACCTGGTGGGGAGCTGGGGATGCCCGGCAGCTCTGGGCACAATGCTTACAGCTGTTCTGGAAATCTAAAACTGTTCCGAAATAAAAGGTTTTAAAAAATTAAGGGAGTTCACAGTGGTCATCTTGCTGCAAACCGGAGGAGGGGATGTGGCATCCCACGCCCCCAGCCCTTCCTCCATCAGGCCCAGGAGTTCCTGCCTAGCCCCCCCACCAAAGTTGAAGTCTGCAGACTCAGAACGAGGACTTCCCCTCCCCGCTCCTCCCAGGGGCTCCACCACCTGCTTCCCCTCAGCCCCAAGTCTGAGATCATCTCTCACTGCATCATTCTGGAATCTGGTTGTCTCATCCTTTCCCCAAAAAGGACCCCAGTGTCCCATCCCCTGGACACCCCTCACCAAACACTTGTGTCTGACCTGTCAATGGGGCATTGATGGGGCAGCTGGGTGGGGTCAAGGCAGGGCCAAACTAGAAAAATGATTTCATCCTCCACAGGGGCCCGGACTCCTGGGTCAGAGGGAGGAGGGGCTGGGGGCCTGGACTCCTGGGTCTGAGGGAGGAGTATCTGGGGGGCCTGGACTCCCGGGTCTGAGGGAGGAGGGGGCTGGGGGCCTGGACTCATGGGTCTGAGGAAGGAGGGGCTGGGGGCCTGGACTCCTGGGTCTGAGGGAGGAGGGGCTGGGGGTCTGGACTCCTGGGTCTGAGGGAGGAGGGCTGGGGTCTGGACTCCTGGGTCTGAGGGAGGAACGGCTGGGGGTCTGGACTTCCAGGTCTGACGGAGGAGGGGGCTGGGGGCCTGGACTCCTGGGTCTGAGGGAGGAGGGGCTGGGGGCCTGGACTCCTGGGTCTGAGGGAGGAGGGGCTGGGGGCCTGGACTCCCGGGCCTGAGGGAGGAGGGGCTGGAGGCCTGGACTCCTGGGCCTGAGGGAGGAGGGGCTGGAGGCCTGGACTCCTGGGTCTGAGGGAGGAGGGGCTGGAGGCCTGGACTCCTGGGTCTGAGGGAGGAGGGGCTGGGGGCCTGGACTCCTGGGTCTGAGGGAGGAGGGACTGGGGGCCTGGACTCCTGGATCTGAGGGAGGAACGGCTGGGGGTCTGGACTTCCAGGTCTGAGGGAGGAGGGGGCTGGGGGCCTGGGCTCCTGGGTCTGAGGGAGGAGGGGCTGGGGGCCTGGACTCCTGGGTCTGAGGAAGGAGGGGCTGGGGGGCCTGGACTCCTGGGTTTGAGAGTGGAGGGGGCTCTGGGGCCTGGGTATGGGACAGATTTCTGGCGGCGGGCAGTTCTAGGAGTCAACACACGATGTCGCTCTGGCCCTAGTGGGGTGGAAGGGGCGGGTCCAGGGGCGGGGCTTACGACCCCCTAGGTGGGGGCGGGGTCTGCTCCTGGGCAAGCCTCTGCTGGCATGGGATCTAGTGCTGGGCACTGAGCACAGCAGGCAGCGAAGGGTCAAGCAAGCTTTGGAGAAGGTGAGGTTTGGAGGTCGGCGCCCAGGTCAGGAGGAGGCAAGGGTTAAACAGCCTGAGGTGGGCAGCACCTGATAGTGAAGCCACAGGGCCTGACGAAGTCCTGGGTCCCTCAGAGGGTCAGGGGCTGAACTTTGAGGCTGTAGAGTGGTTGAGTGTTAGGGAAACAGAGTCTGGGAGTCATAAGATGTGTGAGTTGTATAAGGTTCCAGGAGAGGGGTGGGCTGGCAGTCCAGACTCCTGGTCTGAGGGAGGAGGGGCTGGGGGCCAGGACTCCTGGGTCTGAGGGAGGAGGGGCTGGGGACCTGGACTCCCGGGTCTGA